CCCCCCCCCCCCCCCCCCTTCGCCCCCTCTAAGCCAAGCGGCGTTGTCGGTGATCGGGCCGAAGACGTCCATGGCCAAGACGAAAACTACCTCGAATCCAAGCCCAAACTCCCTCGTCTGTCTGGCACTCTACGTGATGCTTGGGATCGTGCTGTGGACAGCATCCCTCAGAACATTTCATGTCATTGGTGCGGGGTCCCTGAAATCGCGAGCTCCTCTTGCTAAGAAGGCTGCCCATCGTGGCCACGGCGGTGCCAAAGAGTCCAGCACTGGGAGATCCGTCCAGAGCGGCCATGCCGGTCTCGGGAGTGTTGTCTTTCAGCTCTCTTATCGGTCTCAGCTCTCCGATGTCGAACCTTGTAGGAGCACAGCAGTGCCACGCAGATGATGCCGGCTGGTGCAGCTGTTGCCCGCATTCCCACCTTATCCGATTCGTTGGGGAAACAGGCTACTTGCTGCATAAACGTGTGCCAAGCTCCCTGACAGACATGCCAGCGATCACATTCGTGCCATGCCCAGTCAGGCTTGCCTCCAAGCAGCACGCACCTTCGAGGTATCTTGGAAAGCAGGAGTGCTGCCTGCGCTATTTGGCGCACCGGCGGGAAATTGAAATCAGTGTAGTACCTGTACAGCTGTCAACAGAGATATGAGGAATGCGATGTGCAAAGGGCCCACAGGGCACTGAGTGACCAGGATGAACAGAAAGGCAGTGCCCAAGCCGACGAGACCGCAGACCTGAGTTACTGAAAGCCTCTCGGAACTCCAAGTTGGAAAAACCTGCTAGTGTCGTTCTTAGTTTCGCACAGAGAAATGCATCCAAGCTTTGGGGTGCTCCTCGGTGTACAGGAGAAGCCTGGTCGACAAAGACTACAAAGACTACACGGCAAAACAAGCGTGTTCTCTGGCCTGCAGAGCACGACGATACCTACGGCAGCGAGGCCAACTGAAACCTTCAGTCAGCTCCAAGAAGCGCTGGCACGGAACGGGCTGACAGCGCACTGGCCGCTCTGGCGGCCTTGTAGCCACTCTTTAAGACTTCCATCGGATCGATGCCTTTACTGCTCTTCGGTGCCTCAGACAAGAAACCCTTGTAGCGTTACAGCTTGGAAGAAGTCCAAAGCTTGGGTGCTTGGCTTCGGTCATCATGATACCGATGCCGCTCACGATCAAATCCTGCTTCCGCAGACGCCAGGCACGGAGGCACATTGATTCTCCGCTCGGCTATGGCTCGGCTCTGTCCATCGCATGGATTGCAAGAGGAAACAAGACGTAGCCACCTCGACGAACGATGCGAACACGCGAGCATTAACAACATGGCTCGGCCCGTGGCTTCTCGCATCAGCTGGCAGCTGCTGCGAAAGGGTGCCGCCTGCTCAGCTGGCACGCAGCTAGGTCCCACAAGTGGACTAAAGGCCATGTTATCCATTGGCCGCGCAGGGTTGTAGCGACATAGACGCGGCCAGCCTAAAATCATTGCGGCCAGAATCTCCCCGGCAATCGACTCAAACAAGTCCGCGCCGCCTGACATCCATGAATGGGCCTGCCAGTTGAATACTGGAAGCCAATTTCGTGCCGGATGGACGCCCGGCGCAGTCACCCACGTTGTCTCCGACCAAATCGGCAATAACGGCGGGATTTCGTGGGTCGTCCTGACCGCAGCCCGTCAGCACAGATTCACCAAAAAGAAGAGAAGGCCGTAATGCCCTCGGCGCCGGCCGGGCTGGCCGGCGCAGCCCGTGGCCTCCGGAATGTCCGCCTCCACTTTGCCCACCATATCGGCGCCCACATCTGCGGCCTGAGAAGGGCCGCTGCTGAAGGCTTCCGCTTGCGCGGGGTTTGCAGTGGCACCTTTGTATAGATGCCACCGCCAAGCCTTTGCGAGCGGATCAAAGCTGGATTTCATCAGAGCTCTCTGGCTACTTGCCCGCCACTCCCTGCAGAGCAGTGCACGGCTTGGGACCCGACTGCGCAAAAAGAGCAACCTCGCCAGGCCAACACCCCCCCCACCACGATTCAACCGCTGGCAACTCAGCTACATTCAGCTACCCTGTCTAACCGTCTCACGTGTAGAGAAACTTGGCGGAGCTGGCTCTCGAAGTCTCGAGATGTCTCGAGCAAGCGTCAAACAAGAGAACGCTTCATAGGGATAAACAGACGGGACCTCGAGAGAGAAAGAGAGATAGAGAGGGAGGGAGGGGATAATCCTCTTTCCGTGAGCTCCTGTTCTCTCACGGTGCGGTTACGAAGGGGGACGAACTCATAGAAGCCCTCTGACACGTACTTCCGCTCGGTGCACTCCATCGCGAACTTTCTGCATGAATGGACACTTCGCTCGGGGATGGAAAGATACTTCCTGTGCCCAAAGGCGTCCCAGCGGATTAACACATGCTAGCCGGGTTGTCTTCTCTGCTCGCTGCCTGAATCTGCGGACAGAAAGCATAGCTTCATGCGCCTGAGGGCAAGTGAGACACACACGGGCAAGGACACTTCCAGATATCTGAAAGGGTGGCATGAGCCGGCTCTCCAATCCATGTTCCTCCCCGGGCATCGTTGAAGTAGACGATACTGCAAGCGTACAGGGACTGTCGGCGCAGTAGGTATTAAGGCCGAGTATAAGATTCCGGTTGTAGCGAACCCAGTCCTGCAAACAGAAAATCTCGTCCCCAAAGCCGCAGCCCTGAACAGGTGTTCAAGCTCGGAGAGCCATCAACGTTACGCAAAAGCTGCACTCTTTTTGCACCTGCGTCAGCAGTTGTCCCATAGCGAAGCCTTCGTCGGCTTTGCCTCCGCCACCACAGCTCCACACCATGCGGATGCCGATCAATCGCCGGCAAAGTGAGAAAACCAAAACCTAGTCGGAGTACGTGCTTTCTGGAGACGCTCGGCCACGAGCAGCACCAGCTTGAAGTTGTCCACTGAAGTAAAGACCTTGAGCCTGGACTGCTCGGACAGTCGGTGTACAAACTGCAACGAAGAGATCTCCTGCACATAGATCTCCATCGTACGGGCATTTAGCCATCTGCCTCTCCGACGCACAAGCTCTGAATCCTCGGAGGCCTGCAAAAGCCAGGTTGCACCACCGGCTCGAAGGGAACCCAGATCAAGACGCCTGTTGCCTTGATCAGCCCAGCTGTCAGCACCCAAGCGTTGCATAAGCTGGTCAAAGCGGTGCCTCAGTGTCGAAGCCGAAAAAGGCCAAAGCTTGGCTCCGGGATCTAGGTCTGCGAAAGCCAACGTGACGACGTCCAGGAGGTCGGGCTGGTCTAGCTTGGCAGCTTGGTGCCTAGCTGCTTTAGCGGCAAGTGTTTCTCCTATGCGCATCACGGCCCCCCAAGTCAAGGCCAGGCATCCAGCAACTCTGACCCAGCCCCACATAAGCGAAGTTGTAATGGCAGCCAAGAGTACCTGCCAGGGCAAAACAACATGATGAGAGTGAGGTTCTTCACGAAGCCAAGCAAAGGCTAGATCCCACGCCGGTTGCAGGCTCCGGCGGACAGCAGGCTCCTTTGAAGCAACAGCATTTATAACCTCGGAGTAGTGGCTATAAGGCCAGCCTGCTTCGAAAAGCTGTCTCCCGTAAGCAACCAGAAAGTGGTTCAGGCGTCTAGTGCTCGACGGTGCAAGGTCCAGCAAAGTCTCAAAGGGGACGTCATGCTTCAGCAACCACTCTGTAAAGGCCGCCAGGAGCTTATCGCGGCGCTTCAACGTAACCGGCTCGACCGGGCGGCCCTCGGCCAGCACCACAGTCGACCTTGCTCTGGAACGTTCACGGTCTGCAGAGTGGCGAGGGCGCAAAACATGGCTCGGGTTTCTTACAGCAGAGCAGCAAACCCCAAACCACAGAACGACCCAGAAGATCCTGAAGAAAGGACCTTCGCCGGGAAACCCAAGCGTAGAGTCAAAGCCTCGGCCTGACACACGAAGGCAGCGCCAGCCCAAGGAGGGCCGAAAGGAAGGAGGAGGACCGGCAGTGAGGCAAACGAGTCTTACCCAGTTGGAAGCCCACCTGCGAAGCTTAAGTCCAGCAAGGCCTTCATAAAGCTCATCCTGAGTGAGCGAATCCCAAAAGCTCGAGGCACACGGCACTGGCAGGGGAAGGTCTCTGGTGGGACAGTCGCCAAGGTTTAGGCGAATAGGGACGTAGTGGAAAGCCGGTAGAAGTCCAGAGAGGAGGCAGAGGGCAGCGATCTTGCGGAGGATCGGCATCAGTCCTCTAGAGGGACTGCGTCCTTTGGCACAGGCGTGGAAGGCGACAGAGGAGTCGACAAGAACCACAACCCGCCGGGGGCCGCGCACAGCAAGGTCTTTGATAAGTCGATAAATGGCAGCGGGTCTCAAGTATATTGATGTGGGCTGTGGCCCGCCAACACCAATCATCACCACTAAGCCATTGCACGGACAGGACAACATCATTAAGCACAGGGTTCTCAAGGCCTTCAAGCTGGAGGGCATGAAGGGAGCGAACGTGTGACACCCGACGCAGGGCTCGGCTAAGCTCACCAGCAAGAGCTTTGACAAGAAGAGGAGGGAGAAAAGCATCATCGGGATGCCGCGGGTGGCCAGACTGCACAGATCGGCCAACGAAGCAGCAAGGCACCAAGAGCGAGGCCAGGTCGACGCCAAAAACAAGGAACTTCCAGCCCTTGCAGCACGAACCCTGGAAAGCACAGGCACAAGTGCTAAAGCAGTGGGCGCCCAAACAAACCGAACGATGCCATTCGGGGCCTTCACAAAAGCCAGGGTTGTCAGGTCATACCAGAACAACAGGGACACGGCACTAGGCAGCCAACTATTGATCTTCGTATGGTTGCCCCGACTGCCTGCTCTTCCCCAAGCCGGCCGTTTGCCTATCACTTTGACTTTCTAGAGGTCGGTGCTGGGAATGGTGCTGCCACTGTTTACATGAGGTCCTTGGGTCACACCGTTGGTCCTTTCCTCCACCCCCGAATCAGTGCGGCTTACGACTTGCTGAGCGACAGGACTTTGGAGTGGCTTTTCTACCTCATCCAACACCGCAAGCTTCGAACCCTGCTCCTGTCCGCTCCTGCTGCGGCCTTTAGGCCCTGCCGGGTTTCTCGAGTCAGAGGTCTTTCCTTCAGAAAAGGCTCCCGAGCCTCCCGGGCGCACCGTGTTTTGTGCCGGCAGCTGGCTCTCTTGTCAGCTCCCGGTCGTCCAGTCGCACAAGAAGCGTCTCCTCCTTGGAGAGCAGCTGTAGCCGCCCCGCTTCGAAGCAGTCCTCCAGGCCTATGCATCATGCGTCGACGAAAACGAGAGCTGCACCCCAAAGGGAAGCGGGCGAAGACACCCACAAAAGGAAGAGGCAAAGGGAAGATGTGCAGGCCGGTCAGACCTGGCAGGTGCAAAGTCGAAAGCAAAACGGAGCTGAAGGGAGTCCTGGTCCGGAGGACCGAACGGAGTAAACCTCCAACCCACGAAGCGAAGTTGATCCGAGCATCGAAGCCCAGGTGGCAAGAACGAGGAACCAGACCAGGAACCGGCCGGGTAGTCACTTTGCGCCATCCTGTCGGGGCTTCCGGGGGAGCTTGGGCGGTTTCTTTGGCCGCTGGCCGTCGAGCTCCTCGGTGTCCGCGTCTGGCTTTGGTGTCCCGGGCTTTGCACGGCCTATAGCCTCTAGCCTCCTGGCGGCGATCAAGTCGATCTCCTTCAAGTACTGGAGGGCGCAAGTCGTCCAAGCCCCGGGACAAAGAGGCGAGTAGGCCCGAGACCTCGGATTCACAGAAAAGCCCCGGCCATGGAAGAGCTGGGCAGGTGGCTCCTCCAAGAGGGCGAGGAGCCATGCGAAATCCCACCGATTGCCGTCTAAGGTGGCCTGGTCCAGGGCCACGAAAGTCAAGGCAAGGTGTTCCCGCTGCGTCATGCAATCCAATCTAAACACCACATAAGGTAGCCGCTCTCTCGATGACCCGCGAAGCCGCCGAATTTTTTTTCTAAGTACTGGCACATCGACACCTGATTCGAGCAGTCCTCGATGGAAAAAGGGGACGGCAAGGACGGCCGGAGTCGGCGGGAGGCAGCTTGCAGCACGGCCAGGAAGAAGTCGCCCGACCTGGACGCCAAAGCACTCTGCAGTTTCTCCCTCTTGGCTGCCCCCTTCGAACCCACATAGCTTGAAGAGGCAGAGGACGACAGGCCCTTCTTGCTGAGAGAGCAGATGGGAAACCAGGCTCGACAGAGCTTGAGATTGCTGCAGCATGGCCGCCTGCAAAGAATCCTGGCCTTGTACCTCGTTCAGATCCGCAAGGTCTGCGCCCGCGGCGGCAGGAGGGGAAGGCATCGGCTGACCGGGCTCGGCCCTGGCCCGAGTCGTCAGAAGAGGGAGCATCGAAGACAGCTGTGCCAACTGGCAAGCCAAGTCGGCCGCGGTCACCCGCTTTTTCGGGTTTGCCTTGCGTCTTTTGGGTTGCTGCTCCAAGACCGGGAGAGCAGCCTGGGCCGCCTCCTCCTGTGCAGAGTAGAAAACGGCCCGACCAACAGGGGACTCCAGGAGCCAGCTCCGGGCTGCATCGCTCAAAGGTGCAGCCTCCAAAGGGGAAGATCGTATCGGAGACCAGGTCCTCCCCGATTTCTCGAAGGTGATCTAGGATCCCGGCCCCACAGTCTGCAAGCAAGACCGGCACTTCCACATCCAAGGGCACCTCTAGGCCTCGCTCGTCTGAGACACCCAGTGGCAAAGTCACCTGGGCTGACTGGCCCAAGAGAGCCTCGGGCCAAGCTGCTACCCCTGCGTCGAAGGCTGCAAGAGACAAATATCCGCACGGAATGCAAAGGAGAACGCCCCCGCCCTCGCTGCGATGCTTGAGGACCGGAATGGCAAGGGCTTCGGTCACAGGGGCGGTACGATCCACAGCTTCCGGCCAGGTCAGGGCCAGGAACTTCAGGTGCCCATCGTTCAGCACCTCGAAAGAAGCAAGGTCGGTCATTGCTGTTGCGGCACGGCAAATCCTGCTGCGTCACAGAACACCTCAACCTCGGACAAGGAGGCGAAGGCGTGGCAAACTGTGTTGGATTCCTCGAGATCCAACGGCTTCCTTGAAGGAACGCCCCGAAGAGAAGAGCCTGGAGCCCTCAAACCTGGAGCACCGAAGGACACTGTAGAACCGAGGCCGCAAGCTGGAGGGAAGTCTGGCTGAGGGTTTAGAATTAGGCCCTGGACGCGCGCTGCTCAGGTGTGGCACCCGAGCCAGTAAGGGATCGGCAGGTGTGCAGGCAACGATCAGGCAGAGGAGCAAAAGCAGCCTCAAGCTCGTTATAACGGCTGGTAGGCTGCGAGGCGGTGAGCAGGGAATGATGCACAGAAGGGCGGGGCCCAGGAGCCTCACGGGACCCAGGCTCGACCGGGGTTTCGGGTCCTATTAGTTCCCAACCTTCACTAGAACCACTAGGGGCCAAGGAAGGGGAGGCACGGACAGCCAAAGAAAGCTGCTGCAAGGAGTCGGCAAGCTGGGAAATGGCTTCGCCCAGGTCAGGCTTACTCATGCAAGTAGGCTCGCAGCCGAAGGTCAGAGGGCCGCTTGGCTGTGGGAGGTGGAGTGCTGCAAACGGAGGGTTCCCGGCAAGGCCCTTGAAGGAGCACGTCCCGAAAGAACCAAACAGTAGAAACCACCCCCAATAAGACCCCGAACCCAAGAGTAAGCAGCAGCAGCAGCAAAGACCCCTGGCAGTGAGATGGGCACCCGAGGCCCCACCAGTTACTCGAGACGCCCACCTGCAAAAGGCGGAACGCCTCCTCGAACCACATCGCTTTGAGATCGGCATCCTCACATTCACACCTATGGCTCCAACGATAACTGTGCTGGCTTTCAGTTTGGTCGAACATCGCTGGTGATTGTATGCCATCATGCCAGATTCAAAGACCATAAAGGCTGTTGAAGCCAAGCTGAACAGGTGGCAGCACATTGATCCTGTAGCTGCAAGAAGGACATGGCATGAACGTTTGCCCATCGGAAGCCCTGAGACAACATCAGGACTCTGCACGTGCGAAAGTTTGCGCGCTCAGTTCTCAATACCCTATGCAATCCGAGTAACGAAGGAGGCTCCAAAGCCATAGCCAACCAAGAGGAAGGGCAACTGGTGCAAAGCTGCAGGTACCTTCAGTCTGACAATCCACGGATGTGTGCTGCAACTGCTGCGTAGTGCGCGGCACACCACCAGCCGCACTCCGAACAAGAGAGCGATGATGCCCAACAGCACCTCGGCAACTCGACACCTCTCCATAGGTCCGCCCCGAAGACTGCCCCGAAGTCTCTCGACTTCCGTGCGCAGCGGCTTAGCAGCATGCCATCGAAACGACAAGAACTCCACTAAATGCGCCAGCGCGAAGTCCGACAGCTATCGCCTGCAATGGCTGACCCTCACGCTTTGCACTAAACCCTATGCTGTGCGGCTCTGCTCCTCCTGAAAGGAGCGGCAAGCTGCAGACGCCACGCGGACGTTGGAACGTACTGCCACCCACATCCCGACATACCCAGCAATACCTGCACGGATGTGCCGATTCAGCTGTTTTGCACATGCTCATGCGCTCACACCTGAGAGAATGCAGCCGGTGGCAAATGACACGGCGACACAGAAAGCCAATCTCCAGGAAGCCACCTCCACACATGACGAGAGAGTTCCGGCACGATGGCGAGCTCTTGTTTGTTGGTGCTTTTGCTGTGTGGGGACACCTGTGGTAGATTCTTGGGAGGCTCTCTGACGAGGTACATAAGGAAGATGCCCACCAGCACCTGCAGCAACGAGAGCTCGGTAAAGAGCCTTCGCATGCCCACTGCACGGCTGAGGGTGGTACCACAACTGCCAGCTTGAAGATGCTCGCATATCTGCGTTAGATTGCTAGATCTCAGGCGACCACTGCGTTTGACATATGCTCGTGATTTGATTGTTCATGTTGGATGCAGGGAAGGTACACCACTTTATCCTGAAGGCCTCAGTAACCTCGCCTTTTTACTTGTACTCAGGGCCGCTCTGTGTGGAGAGAAACCCGGCAGCTCCTTCCCTGATGGCCTCAGCAAGAGGAAAGTCTGCTAAGCTCAGCCTTCCAAGAACTGAAAGAATTACTCCTAAGCTGCAAGCGTCAGAGACTTGCCTCATCTTCTCGTCACCCTCATCCTCTGAACAACATGCCCAGAGATAGTCACCACACATGGCGCGACTCGCTGTCCTTGCCCAGGACCCAAGCTGCCAGCCAGGACGCGAAGACCAAGCCGCCTACTGCAACCAAAGCCACCACGTACCTGGCACAAACAGGGAGAAGCAGCAAGCAGCAGAAACTCAATGGACTTTGCAGGGGGTGCAGCATTGAAGGTAACGGAGCGGTGACCGTGGGGGGGTTGCGCGATTGCAGGATTTCCGTGGCCTTGTTGCGAATGCAAGCAGAACAAAAGCGTTTGCATCGGATGGTGAGTCCTCCATCAATCCTTCCGACGCGCGGTCCTCCTCAAAAACTCAACAGGATGAACTAGCACCTAGGCTCATAGGATGACAGGATGGCAGGAGGGTGACAGAGTGGCGCCTCCACCCGGTGTGTGATGTGGCTTGCTGGCGACGGGCTTCCTGCGATGGCTCAGTGATGTGCAGATTCCCAAGGCTGGCATGTTCAGGAGTAGGAGATCCAGTACTGGGCGAAGAGCCGAAGAGCTACCAAACCAATGCAGCCCGTGAATCCCCGACAGAGAGAGGCTGTCGACCGTCCTCTTTTACACGAAGAACAACATGGCTTTGCAAGCAAGAAGCTGCACACGGCATGCACATCAGACAACCCCCGCACTTAACTATAAAAAGGAATAAGAAAGTGACAAACTGTAGAGTCCAAGGCTGCTTGAGCTCAGATAGTTTTGAGGACCCTACATGCTTGGCATAAAGGGAACAGATCTGGAGCGTGTCTTCTACAATTTCTCAAGCCATCAATTTTTTCCGAACTAGGGGAAGAACAGCAGCTGCTGCCCCAATGCACTGTGCGACTTGCTGGACTGCTTCGCAACAGCGGCACACTTCGTCTTGGTTTTCGTCGCCTCTTTGACGGCTGCAACAGCCTGCTCCTGTTTGGTAGCCTCCAGCTGTTTCCTTACACCAATTATCTTCGTATTTGTTGCATGGCTTGCGGCACTTCTCCTCTCGTGCTGTTGCTTCATCCGTGTCCGGATAGGCAAAGGCAGGAGGCTCAAGCCAAAGACCCACAAGGGGCAGTCCGAGGCAGTCCACTTGCCCCTGCTTGGTATAGTCCATGTCGGCTGGAGCTTCGTCTGTTCCACTTAATGCACACACGGACGAGCCCTGGACCTAGTTCCAAACGAGAGGAGCATCCAGACATCCCTCAAGCAGAAGTTTGGTCTGCTGCCTTCTCTCTCGTCTTTGTGCGCTGGGTGGTAAGGGGCCTTTTGGAGTAGCAACCTCGGGCGTGCCTGGGTCTAACCGCCGAGCTTTCCTGGGCGGTGTGCTGGGGAACCCAGGGGGAGAGTCCATGTTGCTGATGTCGATGATGTTCTTCTTCCGGCCACCCACATCTGGACTGTCTTCATGCTGGTCGATGTCCTGTGTGGTCAATGGCTGTGGATGCTCGTCATCTGTGGCCATGGCACACAGGAAAAGCTTCTCAGCAGCCAGTCCCTTCCTGTGGCGTGGACTGGCATGAAGTGGGGTGGAGTAGAGGACGCTCTCTTTCAGGATTTTTCAAGACTTCCGATCGAGGTGTTCCTGTACAGTCAAAGCAGAGCCAGTGCCGTGTGACAACTGTGCATGTGCCTGTAGCTTGCATGGCTGGCCCGTCTTGTGCAAATGTTTGGCCAACACGTTAACTGTGCAGATGGACGAGCGACATCCTGGAATGCAGCGAATCACGCAAGTTCTTTATGTATGGAACCCCAATCTCCCGAAGCATCCCCTCCACGGACTCCACGCCTCCACCTCCAAGTAGAAAGAAGAGAACGATGAATCCGAAGCAGACGGCCTCGCAACACCGGAGCTGGAATCCACGGCGCCGCTCCCTTGAGTCCCTTGAGGCCCTTGACCGCAATGATTCGAAGCTGCCCATAGATCGTCGAGTTTCGGAACGACCTGCGTGAGAATCTTGCAACCTTAAGCTGCTGAATAGGTCTTCGCCATGCCTGTACCACATGTCTGCAGTCTTGAAGACGTCCTGAAAATAAACCGACCATCGCTCAATACACATTGCAGGTACCGGCAGTCCGGGGCCATGCTGGCCATGTTGGCAGCTTGCTGATTTGTCGTCGGCCTTTCCAAAGAAACGAGGGATAGCTTTACGGCCTGAAGAGGCGCTGAGCTCTGCGCAACATCTCTGTCACCTCAGATATAAATCTCAGAGGTCATTGCATCACTGTCCTCGCCTCACCTCCGAGGCGCCCACAGTTGCCAAAACGGGCGAAGGATGGTAAAGCTGTGTTGTAGTGTCTTCCGTATGTCGGATGTATCTATATCTGCGAGTGATACGGTGTGGTGTTATGTGCTATATAATTCGGGGCAATCAGCCCGTGAGGAGGACTTCGAAATTGGAGGTTGTTTCTTGACGATGGTTAAGCCTGTAAGGTCACATGTTCAGCAGCCACAGCTGGTCACCACCTGGGCTGGCCTTTCAATCTGCTTGGCATCACGACTCGACCTGCATGCATATGGGCGAACAGCTGCGAGCGAACAGCTGAAATCGAGTGCACAACATGCATTCAGTAAACGCCATTCTTCATTGTAAACACAAGAAGACACGGAATCTTCGCCGCCCCGGGTGGCGACTCTGCAGCACTCGTGCGTGTATCCGTATAGCATGTGTTGAAAGGTTGCAACTTCCTTCAAGATTATCTTTGCATTTCCTTCAACGCCGCATGCCGAGGCAATGGACGAAGGTCTTCCACCCTCGACTCCGAACCTATCTGGTCCTGAGTCCCAACCACGACTGCTTAAGCGTGCCTTCAAGGAAGCTTTGCCAGAAAGGCTCGTGACAACCCATCGTTATTTTGCTTAAATAAAGCACGCAACTGTCGCGAAACTCCTCAGTACCGCTTTGCAGGACTGGGCATGTCATGTACAAGCAAACCGGATTGGTAATCCCAGCAAGTACACTAAGCTGGACATCTTCACAGTCGCAGGGTAACGATGTCGGCTCGTGTTGGAATGGCACCCGGTGCTCGGCTGGCCACTCTAACTTGTTCCTGGCAGAGCACACGGAGGGTTGGCTCCCTCCTAGCTGCCGCCATTATGTAGCTTTGTTGAAGAAGTGCCCCAAAAAAGATTTTAGTCGTGCTATTGCACGACAAAGGTCTCCGTCGGCATACTTGGTAACACAATTGCATGGTCTGGATCAGTTTGTTACTGTGCAGTTAACCTTTCCTCACGGGTCAAGCTTTTCCCACGAAGCTCGACGGATGCTTGACACTTCAATCAGAACAGTCTTGAAGTTTACAAAAAAATTCTGTGCATCTGCTGTGCGGGCCTGTCTTTGCAGCCCTCAGTCATGCAAAGTATTCATGGATCCTACTCACACTCGGGCATGCAGCAAGTATTTGTTCAGCCTGGCGTAATTATTACGCAGCAAGGTGTTGTGCTGAAATCACGTTCTGCAGTTGTGCACACAGCCGGGCAGCGTTTGATGTGGTGCAAAGTCTTCAAGCCTGGCAACGCGAAACCAGGCCAAGGTAAGAAAAGGGCTGTAGGTTAATGAACTGGCGAAGATTCGTGATGCAATGCAGCATAAGCGGCAAATGATGTGAGCGATTCTGAAGACCAGGAACCATCCGAGAAGGACGCCTCATGCGTGCACAACCGTTGGCACGTTCAACGCTCAAACACTGTGGGTGCAGAGGCAGCGACCTAGAGATCTGCCGATGTGGCTCTCGAAGCCGAAAAGGATCTCCTCGCAAGTGTGCGTGGTGGGGGGCCTGTAGCAGCTTCTGCTGTCTTAGGCTCCAGCCACGACCTTCAGCTCACTACCTTACGCTTGACGTCAAAAGAATCATGATCTTCTGCGTCAAGGCACCGAAATGCACGACACAGACTCTGAAACAGCGTGAAAGAAATGGACGCCACTGACGGCACAGGAACTTCTTGCGACAATATATATATATATATATATATAGTGGCGAAGTGCAATACAAATTTGAAAGAGAAGCTTGCGAAACGCCACAACAAACTCCCTTAGCCTTAGTCCGCTAGCCCTTCTGGGAGCAACGGCTGTCGGCTCTCGCTTGGATTGCGAGCACCATCTCCTCCATGGCATGGGCCACGGGAGAGAGCTCCAAGGCCCATGCCTCGGAGCCAGGACAACGTGACATGCCGTGACCGCGACACCATCCGCTGGAGGAGTACTTGTTGCTTGTTTTGGCTTCACACACCCACCCGGCGACCAGGAAGTTTGCCGGAGTATGTTGAACAATGTTGAACATGCTACTAGCCTTCCGAAGCCCGTTGATTCGAAGTCGAAACCTCGCATCTAAACCTAAACCCGTCGTGGTCGCGGATGCACCGTCTGGCCCTTGTGAACCGGAAAGAAAGCGGGCCACGGCTGTAGCAGGTCCTGAGGAACCATCAAAACGGGGCGCCCCCCAAGCACGGTCTAATCATCAAGCACTCTCCGTTGAAACCCGTTGTCACGTTGTCTAGGGACATCTCTTGTGGTGATGTTGCTCTTC